TGTCTGTTGCCACTTTTTCTCAGCTCTCACTGGACCGATTTCTTTCAAAAATACGTCAAAAGATCACAAATCGTATCTAGTTGAAGACATTACCCTTAAAAATTGAAAAAAATTCCCTCGTTCCCCGCAAATGGGGGAAATATCCAAAAAAATTACAAATTTAAAAATCGCTAATTTTTTCACTTTTTTTTCTTAAAACTTCCATAACTTTTTGAAAAATCCACAAATCAACATAATTTTTTTTATACTAAAACCTTAGATATNTTTTGAAAAATCAAACAAATCAACATAATTTTTTTTATACTAAAACCTTAGATATTTACCTTTCATTTGATATCATTTTTTTGAAAATCTATCACTTAACCTGCTCATTGGGGGGGATTTAAAATGGCAACTTTTTTACAAAAATTAATTTTTTCAACTTAATTTTTGAAAATGTTCCGGAAAGACTGCGTCCTTTAAACATATATCAAATTAAAGCTTATTTTATGTACTACAAAATGAAAAAAAAAAATTTGTCCCGACACTTTTTTTTCTACATTTAAACGGCTGCCGTAGTTAAAAAAACACTATTTTTGTGTTAAAATTTTCGATTTTCGATTTTAAATTTTCAACTTAAAAATGCTATAACTTTTTGAAAAATGTATATATCAGCACAAATTTTTTTTTTCTAAATACATTATAAGTACATCTTTCATTTGACATACTTTTTATTAAAATTGGACAATTTCCCCTTATATAGGGGGCGTTCAAAACTTAAAATATTGTAAAAAACATAGATCTTTTTCAACTGAACTTTTGAAAATGTTCCGGAAATACTGCGTCCTTTAAACATATATCAAATCAAAGGTTATGTTATATACTATCAAATGAAAAAAAAAAATTTGTCCCGACATCTTATCTTCTATGTGCAAATGGCTGTCGAAAATTTAAAAAAAAATGTAATGTTTGCGATAAAAATTACATTTTATCGGGATGTTTTTTGTACTTAAAACTGCCATAACTTTTTCAAAAATGAACAAATAAAAATAATATTTTTTTGTATTGAAACCTTAGATATTTCCCTTTCATTTGATATAATTTTTTTTGAAAATCTAACACTTATTCTGCTCACTGGGAGGATTTAAAATAGTAACTTTTTTACAAAAAATAACTTTTTCAACTTAATTTTTGAAAATGTTCCGGAAATACTGCGTCCTTTAAACATATATAAAATTAAAGCTTATTTTATGTACTACAAAATGAAAAAAAAAAATTTGTCCCGACGATCTATCTTCTATACGCAAATGGCTACCATATTGAAAAATATACTATTTTTGTATGATAATTATGGGTTTTGTATTTTATTTTAATAGAAGTTGATGTTGCTTTTGCAATTATCCATCAATTTTTTAAAATTAAACACTATCTACAGATTTGCATCGAAGCGTTTCTTATGATAGTGATTTTAATCACTGTCAGATTAAATCTATACTGGACCCTACTATGCAATGTCTCCACTATGCCGCGACCCCACTGTGCTACCGTTTTTTAATTTGTATATTTCATTACTTAAATATGAAACAATTTTTTTGTGTTTAGCTTGTGTTTTTGTAATATCTTCTTCAATATGTTTAGTTAACGTATCTATGTCACAATCTTTTAAACCATTTAGATGACTTTCAAATTGATTTCTAAATTCTTCAATTACCTGTTCATGAATTTATTTTATTTTTTCAATTCTTTTTGATATTCAGATCTAAGATTTTGTTTCAATTTAGAAATTTCTATGTTATTTTCTGTAAATATTCGTTTTATATCATCACGATGTCTTTTTTCAATTTCATCTAGTTCAGTTCTATGATTTTTACAAATACGTTCAAGTTCTTTATGATATATTTCATGTGTTGAGTTAACTTCTATGATGAATATTTAATGAAAAATCTAAGCTTTTATTGTTTAATTTTTTCAATGAAGTTTATTAAAGTTAATAGTTTGTCACTATGGCAACATTATGTTGTGCGGGCCCACGTGGTAAAAGGAATTAAACTTAATAAGAAAAAGAAAACACTCACTTTTCAATAAAACTTTAGAATATATAATTTGATTGACACAATTAATAATACAACACACGTTATTTATTAATATTAATACAAATGAATAGAATAATAAAATATAATGACATAGAATGATATAGAATGATTTAGAATGATATAGAATGAGTGTAACTAGCGCATACTAAACCACGACTGACTGTAGAGTACCTACAGCGGGAGTCCTTTGCCCATCGTTGCCCTAAAACCCTTGGTCAGCACATTCCTGCGTTCGACGACAGTCGGACGACCATGTATTATATACTCTACACAATTATAAAATAATATTCAGGGGTTCTTAACAATAATAAGAATAAACAATTATTTTTACAATACTGCTTTAGAGATAAAAGACTAAATAAGATGATATAACTGATTTCTTGATATTTATTAAATGTAAATCCAATATTTCTCGATTATAATTGATAGTAAAGGTATTAATATAAAATAATTTACTACACATTAAAAAAAATATATATCTGAATTGATACGATCACATTTGCGTGTGCCCATATCTCTGTCTCCCATAACATCATTGTACCGTTAATTAGACATATATATATATATATATATATATATATATATAAATAACACAGTGACATACAACAATACTAACAGGAGGGCGGACTGCACACATAAACACTTTTTGCAATTCACGGCCAATGTGCCATAATAAGATATCCCTATCGACAGTTGATCTTTTACCATCTTCGCGATCACTACTTTGTCTAATAATTAACTTAACTTGCTACCCCGTATATTATAGTGTGTGTGTGTGTCGCCGTCAGCTCCCTGTTGGATTATATCATCTCTAGGTGTCCAGCAGGTTGTATTATCTAATTAATATTTCAATTGTTTAATAAATATTTATTTATATCATTGTTAACCTTTATATATATATATTGTAGTGCGACCCTTGGTAGTTCCTCTAAGGGAATATAAATTAAATAGGAAACTTCAGTACCTAAGGTAGATATAGCCTAGCCAGCTATCCCCCGTTGGTCCCTTAGAATACTGTCGACGGGCATTTAGGCTAAACCCCTAAATAGCGACGTAACAATTGGTGGAGGCGCCGATCTCTCTGTTTTATTTTAAACTTTCAGTGAGGAATCCCCCCTAAGTGTACTACAATTTTTATATACCGCTTTTCACAGTTAATTGATAAATTAGATATTTT